CTATTTCTATAAATTGGTCATTTCAAAAATAATATGTAAATGGAAGGTTTTTAACCTTCTGACATTTGTTTTCTTCATCCAATATAATTCCCTCAAGATTCTTCCCTTACATGTATATGTATGGCTGAGTCCTTTGCTGTCTGCCTGAAACTATCACAACATTGTTAATCAGCTGTACTCCAATACAAAATAAAAAGTTAAAAACTAAACCTCTTTCACCTAAACACTGTTCATTGTTCCCTTATTCTGAACCACATAAAAATATCTGAATTTTTTTTTCATTATAAAATTCAACTTCTAAAAAAGATTCTTTCAAGTTAGAGCATGTATCAGTAGTCTATTCTTTTTGTACTGCTGAGTCATTATCCATGATATAGATGTACTACAGTTTGTTTAACCATCCATCTAATGAAGGGCAATATCTAATCCATGTTGTTTCCAGACTTTGGCTATTAGAGCCAAAGTCTGGAAACAACATGGATTAACATATTTGGTGTGTGTATTTCTGTGTTCTTTGTTCTGTTTGCTGTGTCTATAGTTCTGCTAATATCATACTATCTTGATTACTGTAGATATGTAGTGATCCTCTTACTTTTCTCTTGTATTCAAGATTGCTTTATAGGGACTGTGCCTTTCCATATAGATTTTAGAACAAGTTTGTTTATGTATCCAAAAATACCTTGCTGAGATTTTGATAGAAATTGCATTACAAGTACAGATAAGTTTCTGCAGTATTGACATCTGTACAATGTTGCATCTTCAAAAATATAAACATATCATGTATCTTAACTGATTTCATGCATTAGTATTTTGTCTTTTTAACCATACATCCTATACATATTTTGATGTTTATATGTAAATATTTCATTTTATCTGTATGATTTTAAATGGTATTTTGTTCTTAATTTTGGTTGTTAAATGTTAGTTGTTGGTATATATAAATATAACTGAATTCTGAGAATCCTACAACCTTGCTGAATTCAATGATCAGTTCTAGGAATTTCTTCTTGTAGATTCCTTAAGACTTTCTACATACACAATCATTTCTTCTGCAAATAGGAACACATTTATTTACTTATTTCCAGTTTTTAGGCCTTTTATTTATCTTGCCTTATTAAACTGGGTAGAAATTCTATATACTGGATTAAAGTGGTGAAACCGGAAACCCTTGCCTTGTTTCTTTTCTTAGAGGTAAAGCATCTAGCTTCTCACCTTTCAATAGGACGCTTGCTGTAGGTTTTTATAAATGTTCTTTACTAAGTTGAAGAAGTTCTTTTCTATTCTAAGTTTGCTGAAAGTTTTTATCATGAATGGGGGTTGGATTTGGTCAACTGTTTTTTCTGTCAGTTGATATGATTATATGGTTTTTTGTACTTTTGACACGTTGGTTTGTACAGATTTTCAGATGTCAAACCAGACTTGCATACCTGGAGTAAACCCAACTTAATCATGGAGTCGCTCTTGTTTGGCACTTACAAATTTAGGATTGTAACACCTTCTTTGTGGATTGATCCTTTTAGCATTATATAATGACTCTCTTTGTCTTTAGTAATTTTCTCAACACTGAAGTTTACTTTTTCTGATGTTAATATAGCTTCTCCTAATTTTTATGATTAATGCTTGTATTATTTTTCTATCTTTTTATTTTCAATCTATTGATGTCATATTTGAAGGGAGTTACTTATAGAAATCATATTTTTGAATCATGTTTTCTTTTTAATTCATTCTGCCAATCTTTGTCTTTTGATTAATGTATTTAGCATTACTATAAAGGAAGCTAGTGGAGGGGGCGGAATTCCAGCTGAGCTATTTAAAATCTTAACAGATAATACTGTTTAAGTGTTACACTTAATATGTCAGCAAATTTGGAAAACTCATCAGTGGCCACAGGACTAGAAAAGGTCAGTTTTCATTCCAATCCCAAAGAAGTGCCATGTCAAAGAATGTTCAAACTTCCACACAACTGTGCTCATTTCATATGCTAGCAAGGTAATGCTCAAAACTCCTCAAGCTAGGCTTCAGTAGGACATGAACCGAGAACTTCTGGATGTACAAGCTGGATTTCGAAGAGGCAGAGGAACCAGAGATCAAATTGCCAACATTTGTTGGATCATGGAGAAAGCAAAGGAGCTTCTACTACTGCTTCATTGACTACACTAAAGCCTTTACTGCATGGATCACAACAAACTGTAGAAAATTCTTAAAGAGATGGGAGTTACCAGACCACTTTACCTGTCTCCTGAGAAACCTGTATGTAGGTCAAGAGGCAACAGCTAGAACTGGACATGCAACAATGGACTGGCTCCAAATTGGAAAACGAGTTATGACAAGGCTGTATATTGTCACCTTGTTTATTTCACTTATATGCAGAATAGATCATGCAAAATGCTGGGCTGGATAAATCACAAGCTGGAATCAAGGGAGGGAGGGAAGTGGGGAGATGGAAGGAGGGAGGGAAGAAATATCAACAACCTCAGATATGCACATGATACCACTCTAATGGCAGAAAGTGAAGAGGACTAAAGTGCCTCTTGATGAGAGTGAAAAGGCTGCTTTGAAACTCAGCATTCAAAAAACTAAGATCATGGCATCTGGTCCCATCACTTCATGGCAACTAAAAGAAGAAAAAGTAGAAATAGTGACAGATTTTATTTTCTTGAGCTCCAAAACCACTGCAGACGGTGACTGCAGCCATGAAATTAAAAGACTCTTGCTCCTTGGAAGGAAAGCTATGACCAACCTAGATAGCATATTAAAAAGCAGAGACATTACTTTGCCAACAAAGGTCCATCTAGTCAAAGCTATGGTTTTTCCAGTACTCAGGTATGGATGTGACAGTTGGCCCATAAAGAAGAGCACCGAAGAGTTGATGTTTTTGAACTGCAGTGTTGGAGAAGACTCTTGAGAGTCCTTTGGACTGTAAGGAGATCAAACCAGTCAATCCTAAAGGAAATCAACCCTGAATGTTCATTGGAAGGACTGAAACTGAGCTGAAGTTCTAGTACTCTTGCCACCTGCTATGAAGAGCTGACTCATTGGAAAAGGGCCTGACGCTGGGAAAGATTGAGGGCAAGAAGAGAAGGGGACTGCAGAGGATGAGATGGTTAGACAGGAGCACAGACTCAATGGATATGAACTTTAGCAAACTCTGGGAGACAGTGGAGGGCAGAGAAGCCTGGTGTGCTGCAGTCTACGGGGTCGCAAAGAGTAGTACATAACTTAGGGACTGAGGAACACAACGTGTATATTTATTAAGCTGCCTCTATCATTATCACGTACACTAAAAGTTTGCGAGCCAGTTCTCTACACTTTCTGTGCCATTTCACACATTGTTACTTCTTTCTGAAATGTTCTTCCCCCGCACCCACACCTGTAGATACAAAAACGCAGCTGTCTCTATGAAGCAGTCCCTGTTTTCATTTTCACCACCACCAGCCCATGCAAGGGACGTGTGTTGCTATGAGATGAGTAATATGGGGGAAATAATCAGAACTGGGGTGTGGGGGAGTGTTGGGGAACACTGGAATGCAGCAGCTGGACTACAGTGGTGGAAAGGACCCATGGTTTGTACTTGGAACTTGCGTGTTTGAGCTAACATTGCAAAAGAAGTGAGGTGAGCAGGATGAAAACTAAACACACACGGCAGGCGAAGGGAGGTGGAAACAGCAACAAAGTAGCCCCCACGGGCTCCCCTGATAGGTCAGAAAAGCAAGTCCATCTCCCCGTGTATCCCCCCTCCCCCCAGGCACCAGGTGTACTTTTGTTACAGGGGTGTTTGTGCAGAATGGCTACGAACCACCAGCGTCCAGGCGCCGTGTTTTTAACCGTGTAAAGGAATTGAGCCTGCCTGCGTAGGAGCCTGCCAGGGGACTGGCTGCTCTGATGAGGCCAAGAAAAGTATGGAACACCCACCTCCTAAGAATAAGCCTTCGCTCTGGACACTTCTGTTCTCATTCGTCCTTGTTGTTGCCTCCACCCCGACTCCACCCCGAATGCTCTCTATCTCCATGTTTGCTGGTGAAGATCTTGCCCATTCCTCAGGACCTCTCCTCAAAGCCCCAGGGGATTATGCCCAAGCACTGGCCTCTGGAACTGAGAGTTGAGAACAGCACCTAAGTGCAGGAAGGGAGCTGCCCCTCCCCTTGGCTAGTCCTCTCCACATTTTCCGGGTTCTGAGTTACCATGCAATTCGGCACCTCCAAGGAACACTCCGTCCTCTACGTGAGCACAGCCTGCTAGGTTCCCAAGGCTGTGCCTGACCAAGGTGTCTTAGACATCACCCTGAGTGTGGGGCTCTGGGGATCTGCAGGTGTCCTTTAGACCACTGCAGTGCAGGAGCCCAGACCTCAATTTGAGGAGGAAAATAAATAAATATAGATACAAACACACACGCACATATATTTGGTTGAGTCTGTCTAGGTTCCAGCAGAGGGGCTGATTGGCTGCTGTCAGATGCGTGGCAAAATACCCCGTATTATTTAGTGGGGATTAGGACAGGCGCACTTGGCCAGCTTGGGGTCCTGGAGCAAGGCCCCAACCACATCCCAGGCTCATCTCACCCAACCCCACAGGCGAAGTGCCTTCCCTCGCACCAGCCCCCAGCGGGCTCCTTCCGCCTCCTCCGCGCGCCCCCCGCCCCCTCGGGAATCCAGGAGCGCTAGTTCTTGGTGAATTTCCCCCCAGGCTCCATCCACCCCGCTTCCGACCCCTCCCAAGCCGGAGGTTGCTACCCAGCCCCCGACTCCCGCCCCTCCCGCCGCCTCCGCCCCCTCGCTCTCGCCCCCCGCGTAGTCCTCGTCCCACGTCGACTTCGCTCTCGCAGCCCTCGCCGCCGGCCGCACTTCCCGCCCTCGCCTGGATCTGCGTCGCCGCCGCCTTCGCTGCAGCGAACCGCCCGCGCTCCGCTCGCCCGTCCGCCTCTCCTCGCCAGGCTCGCCAGCCCTGTGCTGCTCACGCCCGCAGCCCTATCTTCCCACGCCGCCACCCGCCCGCCGTCCGGCATGGCCCCGCTGCAACCAGGTAACAGGAAACGGGAAGCGCCCGCGCCCCAGGAGGCCGCCGCGGGCTCGTCGTCGCCGCGCTCGGCGGCGGTGGACGCAGACGGCCCGCAGCCGCCCAAGAAGCCCAGGCGGATGGTGGTGCAGCGCTCGCTGGTGAACTACCTGAAGGGGCGCGAGGTGGGCGCGCGGGGCGGCGCCGGGTTCCCGGGCTTCGATAGCGAGCTGCGTGGCTTCGCGGTGCGGAAGCTGCCAGAGCTGCTGCGGGAGCGAGAGCTGCCCTTGGGCACCGTCGACAAGGTGTTCGCGTCGCAGTGGCTGAGCGCCAGGCAGGTGGTGTGCGGTACCAAGTGCAACACGCTCTTCGTGATGGACGTGCAGTCGGGCCACATAACGCGCATCCCCCTCATGCGGGATCGTCGGCCTCCGCCGGCCCGCGCCCAGCCGGGCTGCGGCATCCATGCCATCCAGCTGAATCCCTCCAAGACGCTGCTGGCCACCGGGGGCGAGAACCCCAACAGCCTGGCCATCTACCGGTTGCCAACGCTGGATCCCCTGTGCCTGGGCGACCGCCACGGCCACAAAGACTGGATCTTCTCCCTCGCCTGGATGAGCGACACGGTGGTGGCGAGCGGCTCCCGCGACGGCAGCGTGGGCATCTGGAAGATAGACCCCGACGTATTCCGGAGCACCAGCGCCTGTTACAACGACGCAGGGATCCCCGTGTATGCCCACATCCGTCCCGCGGAAGTGGAGGATGTCCCCAGGGCCGGAACCAACCCAGGTAACTGCAAGGTGCGTGCCCTCGCCTTCAGCGCCAGGAGGCAGGAGCTGGGAGCCGTGACCCTGGACGGCTACTTCCACCTGTGGAAAGCCCGGAATACCCTGTCCAGGATGCTGTCCATCAGGCTGCCTTACTGCCGAGAGAATGTGTGCCTGACCTACTGCGATGACGTGTCCCTGTATGCGGTGGGCTCCCAGTCCCACGTCTCTTTCCTGGATCTGCGCCAGGGTCACCAGAGCGTTCGGCACCTGTGCTCCCGCGAGGGCGGCACGGGTGTGCGTTCCCTGAGCTTCTATGAGCACATCATCACCGTGGGCACCGGCCACGGCTCTCTGCTCTTCTACGACATCCGTGCGCAGAAGTTCCTGGAGGAGAAGATCTTGGTCAGCCCGTACTCCTCTCCGCAGCCCACAGGAAGGAGGTTCAGGCTGATTTGTGGCAGAGGCTGGCTCAGCCAAGATGACGTGCAGATGAATTACTTCGGTCCCTTAGGCGAGCTGCCCAATGCGCTGTATACCCACTGCTACAACTGGCCGGAGATGAAGCTCTTCGTCGCTGGCGGCCCTCTCCCTTCAGGCCTCCGTGGGAACTACGCAGGCCTCTGGAGCTAAGGATGGCCGCCCTGTCCTCAAAGTGCCCAGATTCACCTTCCAGTCGGCTCCCACTTTTCTCCTTTGCTCTGCGTTTGTGCTTTTGACTCTAGCTTTTATCTTTCAGATGAAAAAGATGCAGCTTACCTCTGCTTAGCATATTAGGCGAAGAGAGATGGCGACCTAGAGAGTGAGTTACCCTTCAGTCAGTCAAAATTTGGCTTTAATACTTGTATACACCTGTCCAATAGTGTCGTTTTGAGTTATACAAAAGAATGTTGACTGATTCTTAGTTTTGTTCACTGTTTGAGTCATTTACGTATTCTCTTATTTCGATGCTTGGCAGTCAATGGCTTTACAATTCTGAATATTTTCTTTTTCACTTTTTGTTACCAGTATTATGATAATACTGTTTTGGTTGTTTTTCATTGCAGATAGATGGTATATTGAGAGTATTTTTTTTAAATAAAGAGTTTGTACATGTATTCTAGAAATACATGTAATTCTGGCTATAGTATTATAGTGTTGTTCCAGTGGGAAGGTACATGTCAGTTTCTAGATTACCAGGTTTTGGAAGCATTCCATTTGCAAATTGTAATCTTCATGTTTGTAGTTTGTAAGTTGTTGGTGCTAAACATGCTGTTTAAAAACCACGTTGAAAACAAGGTTGTCATACAATCTTGGGTTTTTTGGTACCAAAATCTCAATTGGTCAGAACACTTTAGGAATGCAAAGGTTCTGCTGATTGACTGTTCAGAATTAATCTAAAAACCTATTTTCTCTTTAAGTTTTCCTGACTTGTTGTTAAATAGATAACGGAATATATATTTTTTCACTTCTTGCCTTAGTAGTATTAACACTTGTTAGTATATTTGAATGTTTGTTGTTTAAGGTACTTGCACAGAGTTTCAGTGCCATCATTCGAAACGGATTCCATGTATGAAAATGTAGACTGTATTGCAGGCTGGGTAGAATGTATACTGATCCTGATCCAGGGTATAGAACTGGATTTTTTTGCTTTTGCTGTTTTCAATACCAAATACTGTACTTGAACATGCTTTAAAATTTGTAATTCTGCTTAACAAAGTCATAGAAAAAACCTGCAAAGAAGGAAAATGAGCTCAGACCCTACTTCTGAAAAAGATTGTTAGTTTGTAAAGTTAAATTTGTTGAGATTTTATTTTGTCAGTTTCAAAGATTCTTATCTAAAGTAGAATAAATATTGTTAAAAAGTTGTTGTGATGTTGAGTCTCAATATAGTAATCCGCGATTATCAAGGATACAGGATGTTTATTTCAAGATGGGCCAGAAAGTAAAAAGTAAATGGCATTAGGTTGAAGAAAGTACTTTGGAGCATAGACAAATACAAAACATGGTTTGTTAGGAAAACATTGTACTTCTCCATATGTGAGAATACTGGAAGTGAGAAAAGAGATTGGCCCTGCCTCACAACTGGCCAGTTTGTGCTGATCTTGCATTAGTGTTGTGGCATGTCTGTTTTTCCTTAAATGTTTCGGCAGTCAGATGTTCCCTTGGTGTCCACAACATGCTGTTCAATTGAAAATCTGAACCAATTGAGTAATATAATGAGTGATTCTAAAAGTAAGTTTAAAAATACGGGGGGGCGGTGGGAAGCAGTTTTTGTTTACAGAGGTTATATTAACAGGGTTGTATAGTTGTTATATTGGGGAAGGAAATGGCAACCCACTTGTACTCTTGCCTGGGAAATTGCATGGATGGAGGAGCCTGGTAGGCTACAGTCCATGGGGTCGCAAAGAGTCAGACACGACTGAGCGACTTCACCTTCTTTCTTTCTATAGTTCCTTTTGGAGAAGGAAATGGCAACCTATTCCAGTGTTCTTGCCTGGAGAATCCCATGAACAGAGGGGCCTGGTGGGCTACAGTCTATGGGGTTGCAAAGCGTCGTACACAACTAAGCAACTAATGAGCTTACCAGGTGACACTAATGGTGAAGAACTAACTTGCCATTGCAGGAGGTGTAAGAGACACGGGTTTGATCCCTGGGTTGGGAAGATCCTCTGGAGAAGGAAACGGCAATGCCCACACCAGTATTGTTGCCTGAACAATCCCATGGACTGAGGATCAACCTGGAGGGCCAAAGTCCCATGGGGTTGCAAAGAAGCGAATTAGCATAGTTGTTACATAGCAATAAAATGTATTTGTATGCATTTATGTGTCTCCAACTCAGTTGTAAATGTCTTAAGGGCAGAGAATATAACTGTCTTTATATTCTCACATTTCTCCACTAATTTAGCCTAGTAAAATCGTAGGCAATCAGTAAATATTTACTGAATGAATGTACTTGCCTCTAGAAACCTAAAGTTCAATGCATAAATACATAGAATTTTGACTGTTAAATAGTATGGAATCCTGTTGTATTTTCCTGTCTTTTTACCATAAGTGAGGGTCGCTCCATAGTGTCTGACTCTGCGACCCCATGGAGTATATAGTCCATGGAATTCTCCAGGCCAGAATACCGGAGTGGGTAGGCATTCCCTTCTCCAGGGGATCTTCCCAACCCAGGAATCCAACCGGGGTCTCCTGCACTTCGGGCAGATTCTTTACAAGCCGAGCTACCAGAGAAGCGCCACCCCCCGTTTTTTGGTTTGTTTTTTTTTTTTACCGTAACATTTGCCCTAATCCATTTCTAGGTCAGACCATGGTGCTTATCCATTCGTAAGCTTTCCATGTGATACCAGAAGATAAAGGAAAATGTATATGTTTTAGATGCCATTGGAATTTAGTATTTTCACCTGCAGACACTTATATTTGAAGATTTATTTAAAATACTTCACTTTTTACAAAATTAAGTTTTGAAAGATCTTTTTTTAGGCAGTTTCTGTTTTTGCTTTATGTGTGTGTATTTACTAAAAACTTCTTTAGATATTACTCAAAAACTTCACTGAAGTATTCACTGCCTGTCTTCTTGTAGGTTATAGGGTATTGTTATGGTTCTTCGTCATTGTTTGGGGACATTGGGAGAACATTTCTAGAGGAAATGACACTTTCTATGTGAGGTGATATTTTAAACAAATAGAAGGAATGTCTCCCAATTTTTTCCTCTTGCTTAGCCCTTAACTTCATCACTGACTCACTCAGTGTTCTCATGATTTAGGGTGTTATCTCCTTCATGTCAGATCATATGGCTAGTCCTTAAAAAACTAGATATCTTAACTAGATAGCCTAACTCTGTATTTATATTAGTAGATGTTTAATTATTTTGAAATATTTTCTAGTTCTGGGTAAATGCAATTTATAGGAGTACACTTAACTGTGTAACCTATGAGGGTGAAATAATTGAAAAAGTAGCCATGCCAGCATTTCAAGAAACATACATACAGTTCACTTAAAACAAGGGAGTACATGGCTGTAAGTACAAATTACCTATCACTGTTGCCTGGAAAACATTAGCTAACTTATAACAATGCATAAAAAAGGTTAATTCCATTTATCCTTAACTACATGTTCCTCCCCAAGCTTGTTGCCAACTCAGAAATATGTGTTCCTCCCTTTTAGTCTCTAGATGAGATAATTTCTAGATTTTATTTAAAAAGGAGAGAGAATTTACTAATCAAGGATATCCACTGAAATAAATTGAGATAACTACTCTGGAAAAAATTCATCTGTTAAATACACTGTAGCTTAAATGATAAACAAAATCGAATTCTCTGGAGGTTGATTTTTTATCTGACTGTACTGCGTGATGAACAAGTTGTCAAAATTTTCCCATTAATTGCTCATTTTGAGTGATATTAGAAAGCAATTCACAAAGCCACCCCCCCCCTCCGCTCCCCAGATGTTTTACTGACAGCTTCCTAATCTCTGCAAGTCTTGGGTAACCCAACTGTAATAAACATGTCACTATATGAGCTGCTCATATAGATGCAGTTCAGTGAGAACAACATGTACTTAAGTGACAGCTGCTGCTGCTAAGTTGCTTCAGTCATGTCCGACTGTGCGACCCCATATACGGCAGCCCACCAGGTTCCTCCATCCCTGGGATTCTCCAGGCAAGAACACCGGAGTGGGTTTGGGTTGCCATTTCTTTCTCCAACGCATGCATGCGTGCTAAGTCGCTTCAGTCGTGTCTGACTCTATGCGACCCTGTGGACAGCAGCCCACCAGGCTCCTCTGTACACAGGATTCTCTAGGCAAGAATACTGGAGTGGGTTGCCATTTCCTCCTCCACTTAAGTGAAAGAAAGCCCACATAGTCCCTAGGTGTTTAAGGGATGCTATTTTAAGAACTGCTGAAAAGGGTTGCCTGAAAGTATTTCCCCGTCTTGGCCGGCTGCAAACCCAGAAACATTGAGCATTGGAGGGTGGCATCATTAAAGGAAAGTGTGTTTACAGGAAGTTGCCATGACCCTCAAGTCTCAACTCAGACCTCCTGAAACAGTTTACTTCCAAAAACACCATTTTATCTGAGTGTTTTCAAAGTAATCCATTCAGACACAAAAATGAGAGCAACAACTAAACAGGACATCTGCCATAAAGGTTGATGATACAGCTGAGGTGAAAGATACCTGATTTACTAGCTGTAAAAATTCACTAATGACAAGAAAAGCTAGAGTATGAAGGATATTTACTAAGTACAATGATAAAATGGGAAGAATAAGAATGAATTCTGCTATAAGGACATGAGGAGCTCCCAGAAGATTCAATACTAGAGCTGGGTCTGGAAAAGAAAATAACAGTGGAGAGGGAATATTGGTTTGAAAGTATATTGTGAGTGCCTGGAATGTACAAACATACTAGAATGTTACAGTTTGACCTGGTACAATTTGAAATGTGTATGGAGTTTCTAGACAGGAATGTCTGGTTGGTAGTTAGAAATACAGTTCTGAAGCTCATAAGAGAAGTTAGGGCTAGAGATACAGATGAGGGAATCATCACTATAGAAATGGTACTTGAAAGAGACTGAGGGGTGTAGGATCTCAGAAGTTGGAATGATTCTCATTCCAAAACTTACCTATATATATATAGGTGTGCAGGCCTATATGCTTCACTACATGTCTGGTGGGCTTCCAGGTGGCTTAGTGGTAAGGAATCCACCTACCAGTGCAAGAGATGTGAGTTCAATCCCTTGCTCAGGAAGATACCCTGGAGTAGGAAATGGAAACCCACTCTAAGATTCTTGCCTGGAAATCCCATGGGCAGAGGAGCCTAGCGGGCTACAGTCCATGGGGTCACACAGTCAAACATGACTAATTGTGTGCACACTGTTCACACACACACACACACATACAGAGATGTCTGGCACATAGCAGGCAATTAATGACTTACAAATGGATGGCCAATGAATGTATGTTTTGTGGATATTAAACACTACTTAGTGCCCCCCCCAAAGTAACATTTCATCATTTCACTTAGTAATAATCAATTTTTAAATTTCCCTAGTGCAATCATATTGACCAAAGATGATCAGGGAAATCTACCAAAGGTTGCTGTTTTAAGTAAAGAAAAATCTATATTTCGGTTAGATGTTTTTATATCCTTTCTAGAATGTAGGTCATTCTACAGTTGGGCAAGAAGAAAGCTAAATATTGATGATACTTTCCATACAAATGACATTTTTGTTTTTCCATTTTGGAGGTACAGTTCACTGAAGCAAACACATTGATGATGTCAATGAGAGTAATGGTGCTATTTTCACCTTTTCTAATGCCATTATTGTGCCATTCTCTGTTTCAACCTAAGGCATTAATGTTTCATGTTGATTAAATTTTAACATCTAAATTGCCCTTTTATGTTACGCACAAATGATAAACTTGAATGTTCCAGTCAGAGGGCAGCAACTTTAGTTTCCTCTAAGCTCGTAGTAAATTCATCAAATAATATCCCCCAACACCTTAGATAAGGCTCATTGTTGTTCCTCCTTCCTTACTAACCCAGAGATAAAGGATTGAGTGGGATTTTTGTTTTTGAATTATGCCGTGTATGAGTAAAAGTAGACCCTGTTTTATACAATAGATGGCATTCCTGGACTTATGTACATGAAGCACATTTTCAAAAATGGAATCATATATTCCCTCATTGATTTACATTATAATTTTAGAAGTGTCATCTTGATTATGGATTGATTTCCAATTGACAGTGGTTTCT